CTGTATAAAGTCAGAGTGAGTTAGGGCTGGTCCTGTATCTCAGTCTCCACCTCTACCTCCGTTCTTCAGTCTCTGAGCTAAAGGGACAATAAAAACCCTTTTTACTGATTATTTCTTTATCATTTATTTATTTTTCCATCTCTCTTCTAGAAGTCATTTGTTTTCTTGCTATGTGTGATTATCTGCAGTATTTATTAAGGAGTTATCGTAGGTTTTTGGAACCAATTCTAGGAATTACAGAGTATTCTGATGGGGGATTTGAACCAAAGTACCAGTATTTTGACATAGAAGTTGCTCCTGGAACCAGTTACACTCCTATGTAGAGGTTCTACTATATCTGTGTTTATTTTGAGCTGTAAATAAATTAGAACTTTAGCTTCTGCTGTGTTAGCTGGACCGACATAATGCTGTCATTAAGTCCAGTGAGAGGAAACTGAAGTCCCGTTAATATTAGGAGCTCAGATTCTTTTCCTTTGTTGGGCTTTTTCTGTGATAGGCCTCCTGTGAAGTGGTTAGGGTTAGGGTTAGGGTTAGAGCACCTTGGGGGGCTGCGTGTAGCTCATCCGGCTGCAGTGCAGGAGGCGGTGGACGCGCAGGGAGGGCCGGCGGGCGAAGGCTTTCCCGCAGTGCTGGCAGGGGTAGGGTTTCTCCCCGGTGTGCAGCACCAGGTGCTCCTTCAGGTCGCGCTTCAGCCCGTACGCCTTCTCACAGTGGGGGCAGGAGAAGGGCCGCTCGCCCCGGTGGCTCATCTGGGGAGCAGAACCCTTCCACGTCAGGCATGGAAACACACACGGTAACCATGGTAACCGTCAGGCTGGATGAGGACGCCAGCAGATCAAAGCCCTCCCAGCCAGGGTTCTTTTGGACCAGGCTGGTCCCGATCCCATATCTGGATCCGATCGGCCGGCAGGAGACAACATATCCAGACTCCAGATCCAGTTTTTTTAAAAGTCGATCCCACACGAGCGTTAGCATTAGCATTAGCATCTGTAACCCACAGGTGTGTGTCCTAACCATTAAGTTGTTATCAGAGTAAATCCCTGTTCAACATGAGTCTGACAGCTAAGTAAGTAGATAAATAACTTTAAACTTTAACACATGCTCTGATAGGCCGGGATCGGATCAGGAAAAAGTCTGAACCTCTGATAATAAAGCTGTAGTTGTTTCCTCCCTGTGTCTCCTAGTGCTGCTCTTGGTGGGAGTACCTGGTGGGCCCTGAAGCTCTCGGTGGAGGTGTAGCTTTTC